CAGACAGACAGACAGACAGACAGACAGACAGACAGACAGACAGACAGACAGACAAACAGACAGACAGACAGACAAAAACAGCAGAGACGCAGAGTAAAAAGGTAAAGCCACTAGTGGCGTCCTCCAACCACCCACATCGCTCAAACATAAGATTTTTTTTTAGTAGCCTTCACGATCGGACCTACAGTCTACAGAAACTCCCCAAACTTGAGTTTTGAAGGTAAACATAAAACAGCATTCAGCTTGAAACGTGCCAATGGGCAAAAAGCATACGAATCGTATGCTTCCTGGGAAGCTGAGATTGTTTTAGAATCCTATCAGGTCTCCTGGGGCAGTAATATCGTAGACTGTAAAGCGCATGGAGATTGGTATTGTGAGGAGACTTGCGCTATACAAAAGCTGTATTTTTTGTTATGTTGTGTGTTGCCATAGACACGTTTATGTCAGGTAGAGCTGAACGAGCTATTCTGGTGCCTCTACATTTGCATATTTCTTGAATTCTGATCACGATGGTTCTATGGTAAAGATGTCTTCATGCTGAAGCCATCGAAGTCCATTCGTTATTTTTTATCTACCCTTCGACTTTCATATTGGCGTCTGTATTAATATTGTTGTTGTAGTTGTTTTGTTTTTTGTTTGTTTTTGTTTTTTGTTTGTTTGTTGTTGGGGTTTTTTTTTTTGTTTTGTTTGTTTGTTGTTTGTTTTTGTTTTTTTGTTTTTTGTTTTTTTTTCGGGGGGGGGGGTATACCAGGGTGTCGTGAATACGCCCGTCTTAGCATAAAGACTCATGTCCATATGGGAAAGAAAGCTGATAATTTTGACTTCAACCCCCCCCCCCTTTTTTTTTTTCATTACAAAAATTAAAGGCATTTTTTTCGCATGATGTAACATGAGGGTAGTTGGCGGGTGCTCTTGTGTGGCTTGCTCTTTCTTTTCTATCAAACATCTAACGTCCTTATATATATATAACCCTCCTTCTTTTTTATGCTTATCTTTCTCTTGTAACATTTTTAATCTTCGGCATAAATTGTATGACCGTATTGTGTTGCGTGTACCGTAAACGCTATCTAAAACTATAAATAATCAAGAAAAAGAATAAGGCGTGGTGTCACGTCGACCAAAATTTGGCCCCACTCAGAATGGGGACATCCGGATATGTGTGATAAGTCAAGTAAGCTCCAAATAAAGGGCTCAAGTTTATTTTTACCGTCCTTGGGTTCTGTTGGCTCCGAGGTAATGAATATTGACGTCCTTCTCTCATGGAGGCAGCCTCTTGAGCCACGGCGCTTTCGTGACCAGACACGTACGGATGAGGAGAGTGTGAGGTTACCTCGGGCAAAACTATTGACAGTGTGGGTCTGATTGTAAAAGATGAAGAAGATCTAGCTGGGGTTGTTGTTTTTTTATTCACCGATCGATGATTTGGACACGAGAGGTGTTACTATGGTACACTCCTCCTCTCATTCTGTTCTGAATCTGTCGTGTCATGGGGCGAAATGAATTTGTTTGGGGTTGGGTTTGATTGTTGTTGTAGTTTTGTTTTTTGTTTTTGTTTGTTTTTCTCTGTGACAGGGTGGTGGGGGTGGTCTGGTATGGCCTGTTTTGTTGTTGTTGTTGTTGTTGTTGTTGTTGTTGTTATTGCTGTTGTTGTTTAATTGTGTTTATTGGGGGTTTTGACGTAAATCACAACAAAAGAGGACGAGACGTTTGCGTATCTCCCCGACTCTGTAAAGTAACAGAGGTAAATCAATAGAGGTAAATCAATAGAGGTAAATTAACAGAAGTTAATCAATAGAGGTAAATTAACAGAGGTAAAGTAACAGAGGTAAATTAACAGAGATAAAGTAACAAAGGTAAATCAATAGAGGTAAATTAACAGAGGTAAAGTAACAGAGGTAAATCAATAGAGGTAAAATAACAGAGGTAAGGTAGAGGAGGTAAATTAAAAGAGGAAAAGTAACAGAGGTAAAGTAACAGAGGTAAA